CATTGACTCCTTACTTCATTAGCTAGTCTTCAATCCTTCAAATCCCCAAAAGCAAAAGAACTCAATATCAAATCCCCACCACAAGCAATGGCGCCAACAGCAATTCTGGTCATTGCTCTTTCCCTAGCAATCTCAACTCAATCAATTATTGGTAAGTCATGAATCACATGTCTTTTTAGCTACTGCTACACTCGTATATTACACGAGATTCATCGTTGTATAAATAAGTGCTCGTAATAGTTATGCATAAATAGTTTGTATCGTATAATACGACTATCGTGTAGGTATGGACATCCGTTGTGAGGACCTCGATGAGAGATCATGCGCGTTCTCTGTGTCTTCATCCGGCAAGCGATGCGTGCTTGAGAGTCGTCTGCGCATGAGTGGCATGACTGCATACACATGTGGGACCTCCGAGATCGTGGCCGACAAGATTAGAAACTTGGTCGAGACCGACGACTGCGTCAGATCGTGTGGAGTAGACAGGCAGGCACTCGGCATATCGTCCGACTCGCTCCTTGACCGCAGGTTTGCCCAGAGCCTATGCTCGAGAGCGTGCTATAACAACTGCCCTAACATCGTCGATCTCTACTTCAACCTTGCAGCCGGAGAAGGTATCCAACCCTTACTCAATAAATATAGGTTAAGAATTTTTATTTAAAATTAGAAGGCATTAAAAAAAATCGAGCTAGAGTTAAATTGAATTAGAATTACGAATCTACGAATTTAACTATTTATTTAAATTTCTATTTCATTAATTTTCTACATGTCCATTGCATATGGAGCTGGAAGAGTCATTGTTGATAATTCTCCTGGCATGGTGCTAATAATGGACTAGATCAAAATGACTCAATTAAATTCTAGTGCTTCTTCTATTAGTGAAGTTTTTATAAAAAAAAATATATCAAACGACGCAACGCACCTTGGATCGCTATGGAAACAGCCTCCTTGTATAATTACAAGGGTAACGTCTGCGTACAACTGACCCCCTAGACCCCAACCTGTTTGGAATATACTGAGTATGTTGATGTTGATGATTAATTTTCTACTAAATTGATGATGGTTAGGGGTTTTCCTCCCGAGGTTCTGCAAGATGCGCCAATCAGGCGCACGCCGCGGCATGATCGAGTCCATTGGGTTTAAAAGCTCTAGGAATGCGGGCCAAAAGCAGACATTTGGGCCACAATCAGCAACAGCTATTGACGAGGAGGCTTTGGGCCTAGAGTCGGCATCTCTTAATGAGGAGGCTTTTGCTCCGGAATCAAAATACCTATACCAAGCCGATGATGGGGAAATCGGCTCTCCTAGCCCATACTGAAGTCCATTAATACCATTAAATTAATGGTACAAATAAATAAAATCACCTAGGGTGGAATAAGGAACTTGTGATATATAAACTAAGAAACTGGGCAGGCTGAAATAAGGATATTAATCCATGTACTTATTCTAATGTTGTTTTTATTTTTCATCCATACTATTGGAATGAATAAATGACTAATGTCCTAATTGTAGGCGCATACATATTTCAACACAATTTCTTGTATGAGAATTGGTTTAATCGTTTGGGGTCGCCATATTCCGATTCAATTTTCCAACTTCGTCGAACCTTACTTTGCTCTCCTTACGTTGTGTTGGCATTTCAAAGGCGATCATTTGTGTCTTTTTATGATAATGTATATTTATGTTGTTTTACGTTATAAAAATCCCAACACCTATAAGAAATGAAAAAATGAGAGAAATAAAATGGTCTGCAATCAACTTTTAAGGTTATCTAAATAATAAAACCAAAAGATATGTAGTATTCTTCAATTAAACCAAAAAAATAACCAAATTAATCTTCCCTCAACTACCGAATGGGGGCCTTAATATAGCCCAAATGTGTAGCATTATTGACTCTTGTGAGGGTCTTCAAGTCATAGACAATCCAGCACCTGAACTCGGCCCGATTGTAGAAAAATCCCAAACACTTGCAGTCCGAGGTGCACTTTCTGGAGCACTCCTCCTCCTTAATGGGCCCACTCCCCCTAGTATACTTGCTCAAAAAATGGTCAACGCCTTCCAATTTGAAGTACCCAACACTATTTGCTTTGCAAGATGTGGGCTTAGGAGGCGCACAGCTCTTGCTCCAGCCCAATACTCCATTTCGAGATGGGCAGCCCACACACTGGCTGTCCTCACAAAGCCCAAACTCCCCACACCTCTCCGGCAGCTGGCATTCTTCGCCGGAGTCCCTTGGGAAAAGGGTGAATGTCTCTTCCCATGCACCATAATCCACCATTGTGTAAAACGTGTAGGCTCTTAGACCACCATCGAGACCTAAACGAAGATAAGTTAACGTGCTATTGTATTTGGGCCTCGACAGGATCCGGGTTCCTCCGTTCGTGTTCTCCACCAATCTCAATTCGTAAGCAAAAGCATCTTCCGTCTCTGGCTCGCTCGTAAACGTTAGATTATCGAGAGTTTGTCTCCCGGACATGAGATAATCAGTCGAGTCGAAATATAACATGGGCTTAGGAGAATTCTTACTAGTGTAGTACATCGCGAACCTACGAGGCTCCAAGATGAGGCTATATGGGCCGTTCTTGTTGTCCTTTTCGGAAAGCCGGCTCACGATCTTATTTGGGCCCTTTAGACGAAGATATTGACCCACTAATAGTGTGTCGGTCGGGTAATCGAAGCTCTGCCACACGAAATTTCCCTTGGAGTCGTATAGCACCATGTTGCCATTAGGCAACAACCTAAAGCCGACAACGCCCTTGTTGGCCGTGTTAGATTGCCATGCAACACGTCCATCGGCTTCGGCCAAAACAAGGTTGCCGCTAGATCCGAGTGAGAAAGTCGCGTTTTCCCCCACGGGATTTCCACGATTCGCCTCCCAAACCCAACGCATCAGAGATTCAGACCGCACGGTGCCCATACGCAATGCCAGAGTATAGGCACCAGGCGTGGTGTTATAGAAACACAACTGGAACGGGGAGTTGAAGACAGAGAGAACCCTGTAGCTAGCATCATACTCGACTATGTAGTCTCCGAATTCGCCTTCATTCACATAATTGAAAGTTTGTGAGGGAGGCACCACACCTTGAACATTAAACGGTAGGGCATGAATTAGGATTATAAGGAGAAATGAAAGAGTAGAGAAACTAGTTGGAGATGACATTGTGTTGTGTGTGTTTTGGTGTTTGGGTTGGGGAAGTCTATATTTATAGATGAACTATATATGTTGGGTAAGTATGAGTTGTTGATAATGCTATTTGTCTAGCTTTTGTAGCAATTGGAAAATTTCAAATCAAATGAGTTATGGTCATATGTGGTGTGCTACACTAATTAATAATGAATTGAATAATAGTGGACTTACTATAAAATAATGTTTCTTTTGCATGTGAGGACATGTTTGGGACCATGTTTTTTTATTGAGTGCAAGTTCCTTTATCCAATGACAGATAGTCATTGTTGGATGCCACTACGTACACAATGAACGGTAGCTATCACTACAAGAAAACACTTCAATTGCAACGAAAAATTTCAATGGCAAAAATTTACGTTGGAAATTCCAATGAATATTCCGACAAACTTAACTTTATGTTGGAATAAGTGTTGGATGGTTGAAGAATTCCAACGGATCTTTTCCGTTGGAATAGCTGTATGAATTTATTTCTATAGGATTTTCTGTTGGATTTTAGCTATTCCAACGGCCATTTTTCTCACGAATTTTTATTCGTTGGAATAACTATTCCAACGAAAAATATAAAGAATTCCAACGGAAAATTTCCGTTGGAATGTAAGAGTTTTTTTGGTAGTGTATAGAGATTATCCATTAGTTTTTAACTTAAATGTCAATTTTTCATTTCTTTATTTTTTTCGTAGCCAGCTACGGTATTTGGAGCTTTGTCCCGACCCCCACACCTGACAATGGTGGGTGAGTCTGAGTCTCCCAACAAGGTTTTCTGCATTCACAAAAATTCGAACCCGAGACTTTGATTAAAGGATATCAAGTTGTTTACCACTTGAACTTTGATTAAGATAAAGATATCAAGTAACTTACCACTTGAACCAACATATGTTGGTCATTTCTTTAATTTTTAAAACTAGTGGTATTTTAAGTTCATTCAAATTAAATTAAGATTTAGCAATTAGCGGTGAGCAAGCAGAAATTGGCGCCGTGTGAGTGCTTCAGTGTGTACGTGAGTTTATAGATCTAAGTACGCTAGCTAGTACATTAATTAATTATCAAACAACCGCTATTTTCAACATTCTCTCTTGAATATGCTAATCCTTTACAAGTCATCGAGATTAATTTACTATCTAAGTCTTCATATAACTAAAGCACAACTCAGTAAAACCATCAATCTTCGTATCGGGTTGATGACAGGTCGATTATTACCCGGTCCAATTACCCAAATCGGCCCGAATTTGTTTCCAGATCCCAAGTCGACCCGCTTGGCCCAACCCGAGATAGAAAACTTGCATAAAGAACAAAATACAAATAGATTTCTTAAGCAAGTCAGCATAAAAGTGGTGATTGTATTTATTAATTTGGATATCTTATCCCATTGAGTTACACCGACAAAATCTGGTTTTAGTGATATGGTTAAAAATCCATATCATGATTCATGACTAGATCTTGTTTCCAAGATAGATTAAAGGTCAATTTTGACTAATTCATTGGTCAAAGAATGATTAAAAAAAAAAAGGCCTGGGCTTGGTTTGTGGTGTCTTGAATTCAGTTTTGAATGGAGTCGCATTGTCATACTAGGAAGGCCCAAGCCCAATATTGAAAAATAAGAAACAACAAACAAGCCCAAATTTGGTCTCTGGTATTAAATAATTGGGTTCATAGCTCAGTTCAAAACTGCATTAAATAAAAATAAAAAATAAAAAAAAATTACAACAGTAAACTGTTAATTCGGTTGTACGGATAGAATAATGATCATTTGAATAAATTGGCAAACTTTGTAATTGTATAGAAAACCGAAATTGATGATGGAAGTAATAAGTCATTGTGCAACTTGGCTTTGTTTATTATAAATGACATTATATTGTGGTACGGAGATGTTTTGTCATTTGAGATAATGTTAATATAAATTCTTTATTTTCTTTTAATTTTTCTCTTTTTAGTTCCTTTTAAAGCATCAAAATAAGTGCCACTTTATTTTTTTTATTATTTTTTTTTTTATTATTGTATCAATCTTACAATTGGTTGTGATTCATAAGAGTAGACGAGCAAGTCCTATGGGTTTAATTATTTTCGTGTAAACTGAAGAAGTTGTAAATTGCATATATTGCTTTCAATGACTGAAAAAAAAAAATAATAATAATAAGTTGACCATTATATGGATGGTATTTGGCATGAACGTAGCACCCATAATAACTCAGTGAACAATGTAGGGGAAGTTAGCTCGTAGGCTGGTTCAAGGGTATTGAAGTTTGATTTATAAGGGCACCAAAAATAGCTCGGAGGTAAACCTTAACGTGGCCCCTCTGATCCAACACGACTTGGTGTACAACGTGAAGAGCAGGCCCTGTAGGTCGCACAAGCGGTGAACTGGTAAGGGGAATTGTGTTGATAACTCAGGAAGAACAACCCAAGAAGTAGGTCAGGGTGATAGATTAAAGAAGAGGATTTGTGAGGAAAGTCGGGTTGATAGTGGGACAAACACTAACTAGAGTGTTAGAGTTTTACTACGATAAAATTTATAAAATGTGATATACTTTATAATTTTAAATATTATATATGAACTTTTATTTGCATTTGTACATATACATGTGCACATGATTAAATACTAATATTGTATAAATGGTTCACGAGATGTAGAATTCATCCCTCGATCAAATAACACAACGTGGGACAAAATTTGAAAATAGATAACTTCAAATATGTAAATAAGTACATAAATAATAGTCATCATTTCGTCAACATCAGTCTTACCAAGTATTCAATCTTGTGCATAGTACATATGCAAATAAAATTATTGTATATGTTATATGTGCGTATGTAATATTCTAAATTATAAATTAGAAAATGAGCATATCAAATTTTATAAAATTCATTAATAGAAATGAACAATATAAATATAAATTATTTAACTTATATATTAATCTCATACTGATAGCAGTAATGTAATTTATACAATCTTATTGTTGATAACGAACATAACTAGATAAAATAATATTAACATTATCATAACAATTGTGTACAGAATTTTAAGGAGTTTGGTTAATCCATAAAAAAATAATTAACATATTTTAAATAAAAAAAACTTTCTTAACGAGCAAAAAAAGAAATAATAATTTCAAATCATAAGTTTAAGAAATAGT